GGACGGGCTGGGGCTGGCGCTGCTGCCAAATGCATGCAGCAGCAGCAGACACAGCTGCTGCTTGCCGCTGCAGCAGTGCACAGAGAAGCACAAGAGAGATTTGCTGCTGAGCAGGGGCCCCTGCTTCCCGCTGCTGCTGCAGCAGCTGCTGGAGGGGGTGCTGCTGCTGTGTCTTTGCTGCGGCGCAGCAGACGCAGCAGCAGCCAGGGGCTACGAGCGCCTCGCGCTGCTGCTGCTGCTGCAGGGCGACCTCCGCAGAGCAGCAGCTTGCTGCTGCTTGTCTCTTGCTGCTGCTGCTGCTCCTCGCCGGCCCTTTTCCTCTCCGGACTCCCCTTCTTTGATGTCTGCTGCTGCAGTGCAGCGCAGCTTTGCTGCTCGCCCCCACTGCAGCAGCAGCAGCAGCAGCAGCAGCAGCAGCAGCAGTCCGTTTGCGGCCGCCTGCTCGTTCTCCTATGCCTTTGTTAAACGCATGCAGCAGCAGCTGCTGCTGCTGCAGGGCCATTCGAACGCAGCAAAGTACGAGGCGCTGCTGCTGCTGTGGCAGCAGCGCTCTGCTGCTGAGCTCCTCGTGCGGCAGCGTGCTGCAGCAGCAGCAGCAGCAGCAGCAGCAGCAGCACAGGCCAACGGAGATGAAACGCCTTTCCCGCTGCAGCCCCCAGCAGCAGCACGGCCAAGGCCAGGAGCTCTGCTGGCAGCAACGCTGCAGCCTCCTGACCCGCAGCAGCAGCAGCAGCAGCAGCAGCAGCAGCCTACGCTGAACTCAAACGCCGCCAGAACAGGGTTGCTGCCGCAGCAGCAGCAGCAACAGCAGCAGCAGCAACAGGCGCAGTCGGACGAGCAGGACTGCAAGCAGCAGCAGCAGCAGCAGCAGCAGCAGCAGCAGCAGCAGCAGCGGCAGCAGCAGCTGGCGGGAGACGTGCCCCCCCGGCTGCTGGAAGAAATGCAGCTGATGACAGCAGCAGAAAGAGCAGCAGCAATAGCAGCAGACTCGAGGAGATTTGCTGCGCTGCTGCTGCTGCAGTGCCGCTCCACGAAGGTCTTCTGGCTGCCCCCTGCATGCAAAGACCTCAGCAGCAACAGCAGCAGCGGCAAAAGCAGCAGCCACAGCAGCAGAAGAAGCAGCAATGCCGCAGCAGCAGCAGCAGCAGCAGCAGCAGATGAGGAGCTGCGGCTGTCTTTGGAGAGGCGTATGCGGGCAGCGCTAGGTCCCCTTTTGACTTACGGCTGCAGCAGCAGCAGCAGCAGCAGCAACAGCAGCAGCGACAGCAGCAGCAGGCGGAGCAGCAAGAGCACCACCTGCGGCAGCAGCAAAGACAGCAGCAGCAGCAAGGACAGCAGCTGCAACGCGGCTGCTGCAGCAAGCGGGAGCTCTTCCGCAGCAGCAGCAGCAGCACCGCCAGCAGCAGCAGCAGCAGCGGGCGAGCCTGCGGGGTCCACAACAGCAGCAGCAGCAGCAGCAGCAGCACTAGGAGCAGCAGCAGCAGCAGCAGCAGGAGAATGCGTCGAACTGAGCTGCTACGTGGGGCTAGTGAACCGCGCCGTTTGCTGCTTGTCTGCTGCTGCGCAGCTGCTGCCAGCAGCACCGCAGTCTTGGGCACTTCTTGCTGCTGCTGCTCTGCATGCATTTCACTTCAAAGCTGCTGCTGAGTTTGCCCGGAAGGCTTTGCTGCTGCAGCAGGACTGCCCCCGCACCTGGTGCCTCTTTGCGCTTTGCTGCAGCGCCCGCTGCAGCGCAGCAGCTCCCGTCAGCTTGCTTCCAGACCCCAGCAGCAGCAGCAGCAGCAGCAGCAGCAACACCAGCAGCAGCAGCAGCAGCAGCAGCAGCAGCAGCAGAGGGCGTGCTGCTGTTCCCCTGCAGCCCCGTGCTGCACCCCCACCGCGTCCCTGTGGGGTCTTTGGGGGAGCTGGAGAGACACCTGAAGCAGACAAAAACGCATGCATGCGCAGCAGCAGCAGCAGCAAGGATTGAAGAGGCGCTGCAGCAGTGCGAGCCGCTGCAGCACAAGCTGCTGCTGCTGCTGGCGGCGCTGCAGCTAGCTGCAGCACAGGCGCCCCACACCAAGCTGCTGGCCCCAGAGGAAGCAGCAAACATACGCAGGCTGCAGCAGCAGCAGCAGCAGCAGCAGCAGCAGCAGCAGCGGCAGCAGGGAGAGATCTCAGCTTTCCTGGAGCCGATGCGGTTCTGCAGCCACAAGCCTAGCAGCAGCAGCAGCAGCAGCAGCAGCAGCAGCAACAAAGCTTCAGCAGCTGCAGCAGCAGCAGCATGCGACGGATGCATTGTGTCTTCTTTCGCTTCTTTCGAAGCCTTTGAAAGCGAATTGCTGCCGCCGTCAGCAGCAGCAGCTGCTGCTGCTGCTGCTGCTGCTGGCGGCGGAGAGTGGAGTGAGCTGCATGCAGCCTGCAGCAGCGCTGAAGGGGAGTGGCCGTCCCTTGGGAGCCTTGCTGCTGCTGCAGCCGAAGCAGCAGGCAGCAGCAGCAGCAGCAGCAGCAGCAGCAGCAG